GGCAGAGGAGGCAGCACCATCCTCCTCCATTTCAATGGAAGACTGGAACTTTATCTGGATTTTTTCTGCTTTCTTTCCGCTTCCTATATATAGTTTATATGTTCGTTTTCAAAGAAAAAAGCTCAGCTTTCAGCCTTAGGGTGGACTGGGGACAAGGGATAGAAGGGCCTTTTACCTTTCACACCACGTTGTCTCTATCCTTCCCTAGATGTTGCACCTTGTGAAGAAACGGACTCAGTCTGGGGTGCAGAGTGAGACAACTTTATTTCCAACAACACCTTGTCCCTAGTGCAGGCCTGGGTTCACATCTACCTTCTCCTTTCAGGAAAAGATCACAGGGGATTCAGGGCAGTAAACACAGAAGCTTACTGGAAATAATAATAATAAAAAAAGACACCGGTTAATAAAGTTACCAGGATCCTGATAAAAACAGGTTCAGTATGATTCTATTGCAAAGCTTTAGAAGGGATATTAATGAAAGCACACATTAAAATGAATTATTACAGTGATCAGACATTGCAGTCATTTACTCTTAACAGTATTTTGAGTCATAGTTATAGATTCAATAATTAAATACAAAAAATCAAGGGTGTCACAAGAAAATAAGGCTTGAAGCTCCGTCAATCCTCAGCTGGCCTTTCTGGGCACTGTGCCTTTCGTTTTACATGCTCCTATTCTCACACATAATGAAGCAACACAAAGTTAATTGCAGATTTCCCACTTCTGAGAAGCCTCAAACTAACTTCAACTTAGTATAAAAATAGAAGAAAAAGAAGAAAAGATTCATTTAAAAAAGCAGAAAGAGGAAGAGAGATCCACAGACATTTGGGGCTGACAGAACTTAGAAAATTAGGACAATGCAGACAATTTTCCAGACTGTCAGAATGCAGCAGGCAATGTTCTCATTACACGTTCAGTTTACCAGAATGTGATATGCTATCATTATTCCTTACTGAGAATTATTGGCAATCCAAATAAATGCCATAGGCAACAAGAAGAAAAAAAATGCAACTGTACACTGATTTATCTTTTACCTACCTAGGGTATGGGGCTAAAAAAAGCTGAATGTAACAATTCAACCATGTGCACATCCACATGTACTATACAATGAGAACATTGAAAAATATTGACATGAGACAGGGATCCTATAGTCCTTCTTTTCTCTTTCAATTATATATACACATATATAGTTAAACAGCACATAGTAAAACACCACTATAGCTTTCACCATGGCCAACAGGAAAATTCTCACAAATATAAAAATGTAAGATTTTAAATTGTCAAATTTCTTCAAAACATAATACAGCTAAATTGAAAGAAATACTGGGGTTTTTTTCAGCATAAAGCCAAAGGGGAGAAAAAAAAAAGTCTCAGGAATTTGCACAATTCTCAAATATCAAACTTAGCAGTCTGGAACCTCAATCTCTACTACAGCAGAACACAGTAGCACCAAAACAAACAAGTGGAACTCTTTGAGAGCAATGACGCTACTTGGATATTATTTGAAACTTTACCTTTTTTTAAAAAAAAAAAAAAAAACACTTAGATTTACATTCAGTATTTTGAGGAAGGGCACGTGATAGTCCCTTTATGCTTTATCCTTGCCATCTGCCCATCCAGGAAGCATTATTTTTATTACTTAGGAGGAAAGAAAAGGTGCTGGTAACAGTCGGAAGGGCAAGGCGATGTTATTTATTATGAAATGTCCTGTTCTTTGGATGAACTGTGTAAAATATTTTGTTAAAAGACTCCATGTTACAAATATTAAGAATGAAAAGGTCTTCTTAAAAATACAGAGTATTTCTGTCTCTTCTAAATTCAAAGCTTGGGGAAATGTGTTTTGCTAGAATTAACTACAAGTTTGCTGTAATAAACATGTATGACAATGCCCTACATAGCACAGGGCCAACCACAGACTGCAGACAAATGTGATTGCTTTAGGTTTCAAGTGGTTACGCATCTCTATTTTCGTATAAAAGGAATGCACACACTTCTGGAACCTTCGCTGCAGAGTCTTTGCCAGTGTCCAGCTTTTGGGCAAAAGAAAACTTGCCATATTGCAGAGTCATAATCGTGAGGATCTTAAGTAAAAACCATCATGATTCAGTGTCTGATCCAGAACTGCTTTCCCGGCTGATTTCAATTTGTAGAGATGGTAAATTATCCAATCGACTCTTTTTTTGTCGAGACTGTTCTTTTTCCTTAATGAGAGCACCCCAAACCCGCTGGAGCTCCGAATCATCTTCCTCTGTAGATGCCACAGAGTTTTCAGGTTTATCTGAAGGCTTTTCTTGTGTCTTCGGAGCAGATCCTAAGCGAGTCCATAAATTACCTAATGAGATGAAGGGGAAATTAAATAAATAAATAAATAAATAACGACAAGACTAAAAGTTCTGGAAGAAGGCTGAAGAGCCCAGTACACATATCTATATAAAAATACTGTATATAGTCCATCATGTTTTATGTGAATTGCATCAGAACTTCCTGGGGCAGAGCCTGACCCTTTTGATTTGCAATAAATGCTTTATAAGTTTTTGTAGACTTAAAAGGTCTGTACATACATTTATTAATTCACATTTAGTTACACTCAACAAAACAGCCTGGTTTGTTGAGTTTTCAGTTGAAATTCCTCTTACACGCTAAAATCAAAGGGATTGCATTATCACATTTGCTCTACAAAACTAACCTGATTTCTTCTCTCTGGTATCTGAGTAAAGGCCTTTTACGTCTTGTTTGGGTATTCCTAATCGGCTGTGTACGTCTGATATTGGCTCTCGACGAGGAGCAGAGGTATTATTTGGAGTTTTAATTTCTGGAGAATGTGGTCTTTTTCCCAGTCTCTGCCGTACATCTATGGATATTTTCAGTGATTAAAATGACAAAAATCACATATTGCATTTAGGTTAGTTCTGCCGGCTAGTTTTATGTTCTTCACTTTGTAAAACTTCCAACCAGAGAGGTGACCTTCTTAAAAAATCTTTTCTGAATTCCTTTCATTAAGTCTTTCGTGCTCAATATTCACTGCCTTCCCCTGCCCCCCCTTTTTTTTTCCTCCAATATATTTAACATGAAATGTCTTCAGGCTGTGTTCTGTCCAAAGGACCAGAAAAACAGTAGTAATTACTGCATGGCTTACAGCACTTTTAGTTTAGCAACACAACAGCAGAAAGAGTATCCAATATGAGGTATGATTAAAGGAAAATTGCTATGCCTTCAATGATTCTTTTCAGATAATAAATAATTTACTTTAGAATTTTAATACTGCTTAACATCCTGCAGAATAAAACAAAAACCAGAACATAAAAATCCTAAATGTATTCATAATTAATCCATGATACAAATAATGCATTTTGACATTTGCCTGGTTTGGATTGACGTTCCTTGTCTTCAAGAAGGTTCAAAGAGAAATAAGAGCACAAAGGAAGCTGAAACATTTATGTAGCAAGTTATCATAGCCTCAAATTGCACAAAAGGGGCAAAATATACTAATGGAATATATGTTTTATGTGGTACTTATGTAAAAGAGTATGTCACTGCTAGTTAGACAACCTTTGCAGCAGCTGAAGTTACATATAGATATACTTTTCTTGTCCAAAAGGGAAGCAGTGTAAAATAAAACAATTGACAAATAAAAAAAAGGCTTCGTTTTCACAGTATATGAATACTTTCATATAAATAACTGGAGTCTCAAGCTTGATTTGTACATGAGCCCCCCCAAAGTGGTCTGTATTTTCCCCTAGAGGGGTACAGATTCTCTGTCTCAAAGAGTTACTAAATCTAAAAAGACAAAGTGAGGGAAATACACACAAGCAAAGAAAAAAATTGGATAAAAATAAATGTCATTCACTGACTTAAATGTACTTCATTTTTCCCCAAAAGCAATCCTTAGCTCTGTCTCTCAGTGAGGAAAATTAACTGTATAAATGCAGAAAGTGCTGCTGAACAGAATTCCCTCAGGTCTGTAAGTTACAGTGGAGGACTGATGTGAAATGAATATAACCATTTTTATGAGCCAGTCGTAACTCTGCACAATGCAGGAATTTCAAATTACCTGATTTTACAATGCTGTTTTGCTGACGTGGCCCACTGCTGTTCTGTCGTTTTTCTTCCAATAGAAGTCTTACATCTGCAACTTTCTCCAATGATCCTTTATTGCCAATCCGATTTTTGATGTTACTGGTTGCTATACTATCTGCTCGCATAGAGTTCCTAAATAAAATAACAAGAGATTAAAAAGTCCCTTACATTAAACATAGTATAGTTCTTAAGACTTCTGTATACAAAATTACACTACTGAAACATTAAAATCAAGTTTTCTCCACTGAGAAACAGGAGTAAAAAACATAACTTAAGTTATTTCTCCCTGGTCCAGCTATGATGCCAACATGTATATTGTGCTTGTTTTCATCAATTTCAATTGATTCCACTTTCAGCTTCATTGTTAATATCAGCAGAATTATTAACATAATGCTGGATTGCAGAAATCTCTAAAGCAGCAATATTAAAAAAAAAAGGAATTGAAAGCCTGTATTAGCATTTTCATTACTGTGTATTTCTTCATTAAAATACCTACTATACAACCACACTAAGAATTAAAATTGTAGCATCAGCCATTTATCTTTACGTGTTACAGTTCTGTTGCTAAGATCTGCTGCAATCAGTCTTAAGGGAAGAGTCATCTAAGGAAAGATTTCAAGGATAGTTATCATCTACCACTGAGAACTCTTCACATGTACAACTGTGACTGACGTACAGTCATCTTCCCTCAAGTACTGTCAGCTCCTGGCACTGTGGACCCTAGATATCTCCAGTCACACTGGTAATTTGTTCCATATCACTTTGTCAGAGTTCAAAACCACATACTCAAATATGGCCATAACCACTTGAATGGAACCAACTTTATACCTTATTTAGTCAGATTAATATTTTTAAAATTTGAATGTTTTCATTTATACTTTACAAAACCTTTTACCTAATGTTTTTCAGTTGTGATTCCACCTCGTCTGCATACATTGTCATTTTCATGCTTTTTTTGGGAGAGGGGGTCGATATCATCTTCAGTTCCAGATCATAGTCCATCTCATCAGAATCAGAAGCACTAGCACTTGAGCGTCTGGCTGCGCTGCGCTCTCGAGACTGTTTGAAAGCTTGCAGTTCATCATGGTATTCAACTACAACTCTATCATCTTCATCCATATCCTGATCTTCTTCCTCCTCTTCCTCCTCCTCAATAGGTTCCTCAGGAACATTTATTAGACCTGTGGCAAAACATATCCTGATTAAGTACCTTGAAATGGAGGGGAAAAAAAAGAAAGCAGTAGGGCTTAATGTGACAATTGCTGGCTGTGCATGCGGTACAATCCCTCTGAGTCATCAGCAGCAATGCCAAAGAGAACATATATATCATTAGTCTGAAAATAAAATAAAAATGCTATTTGGTAGCATTTGGATCAGCATGAAGTTTATACCTCATCTGTTCCTTGTAAAACCTTAAAATGTACCTTACTTAGAGACTTTGTTTGTATGTTTTTGAGACATATACCTGACTTTCATGGAAACAAGACTTTCACCAGATAAGATATAGTTAAGGTCCTTTCCAGCCTTCTATTTCCCAGGTTTTGTCCTCTAGGTTCTATGTACTGGCATCAATTACCTGAATGACGATGTTTATAAGGAGGAGTCAAGCCAACATCATCCCCAATGAGGGTCCTTTTCTTTATCACATCCCGATGGATTCGACGCGAATGGTATCTTCGTTTCCTGAAACACCAATAAAAGCAGCATATTTCTGTCACAGGAAGGCATAATGAATGAGCCATATGCAATCCTACGTTAAGCAAATGCAATTAACACCCGCTTTAATAGCAGACAAACACATTTATGCCAGAAGTCTGTTTGGGCAGAATGTTTTGAATATAAAGTTCATTAACTTCAAAAGAAAACATTTGCCTTGCAAATTCATTGTCACTTTACTAAAACATGACTCACACCTAAAGATCTACATCTGAAAGAAAACAAAAATGTACAAACAGTTTTAGATTATGTTGTCTGACTACTTTCAACATTCCAATTCTTCTAGCCTGTATGCAAAGAATTGCTGAGAATACTCACCAAGAATTGCTAAGAATCCCCTTCATGCCTCCATAGTTGGGATTGCCATATTTCATGTAGTACTGGCTTCGCCTTGCAGCTCCCAGCTCCTTCTTGTCATCTGAAAAAAACATAAATTACAGGAATCTTGCCCCTGTAGAATATATCTTACTACACTAAATTAAAAATAAATAACCACCCAGCCAAAGACACAGAAAATGAATGGAAGACTGAATGCATCTTACAGATCACTATTACTTTGATCTCCCTCATAGAGGAGGCAAGGATTTGGAGGATTTTGCTGACAAAATTGTCCTCCCACCACAGTTTTGTGTTCAGAAATATAAGTCAGTGGACACTCAGACTTTCTGTGTATCACCTTTATAGTGTGTTACATCCCACTGTAACTGCTGGAGCTCATACTTACCTTCTTCTGACTTTTTTATTCTCTATGGATTTGTCACTTTTCACACAGCCCAGAAGTAACATGTATGTTCATTTTACTCAGAAAAATGATTTATTATCTCAGCTGTATTCAGCAGAAATTTCCACTGATACCTCGCAAACATCTCAAATTATTTTCATATTTATAAAATATGAAGTTAACATTTGTGGAGAAGGGTATCATAAAATCCGTTTTACAGTATCAGGAAGAATACCTCATATTTAGCCCAAAATAAAATTGTATAAACAATCTTTATACATCTTGAACTTGAATTATTTATGTATTTATTGCAAAATCTTAACACCTGATGCTAAGCAAAAACTAATAATTTTTCAAATAAAAATTAGAACATTCAAGTCATTAATTAGTCAACAAATAAAACTGCAACAAGCAATCAATTCATTATGCTTGTTAAGCTGTTCATTTACCTTTAGTAGCAAATCTCATGAATAGCTTGTTTCCTTTAGCCAGTTTATTGGCAGGGCGAAGATCATTACGCAGGAGAGAATCCTCTTCTACCTGGGAGAGGGCATCCAACTTTGGGGGGCAAAAAAGGGATTTTGGACTCAAAAATAAAATTACTAGTGAATGAAAATGGATTGCTTAAAGAGAAGCAATCAACTGATTATTAAGAAAGTCACTTTTCAAGTCCTATTCAAAATAACTTTTATTCTTCTTGACAAACTGATACGAATTTAAGTAATTTGTCTTAAAGATTTTAAATATTCCTCCTCTTCCTTCATAATATTAACTCAGATTAATAAATCCAATAATTTTCCAAATGAAATACAGAATCAATTGAAATTCAGAAGATAAATAGCACTTAAGTTGGACAACGAAAAACAAATATTTTATTTTTTTTGTTTAATTTCTGAAAGGTTTAATTAACAAGTTTTCATATCCTCACATAGCGAGTAAAAGGCATTTTAGAATTGATGTGTGTTATACAGACTAAAACTCAAATTTCCATGGCCTGTATGAGTGTTTACTTATTGATCTCAAGAAAAATTGATCACACCTGTTATATATTCAGCCACTAAAGATTAATTTGACAAAATATCAATGTGTATGCCCCTTCCAACTTAAATCCATGGACAGCCTAAATCTTATTTGTCCATTTAAGCATTGTCATTATTCAGTCTCTTAATTCTCTTTCATGTCTTTTCTCACCAGAAAAGAGCAGCCACTCAAGCACTTAGCTGCTGAATGCCCTTTCATCCATCAAAATCGAGTTTCACCAAGCATTTTTATGCGGACAGCGTCTCCAACAGCATATCTGCTCTTCCTGAGATTTCTCCATCCAGTTTATTTTGAAAATTAATTAGAATGTATATAGTTAAAACTATAATGTTTTATGGACTTTATACCAATCACTGCAAAACTTAAACATTAGAGCTTTTTCCTTTTTATACCGACCTCAACATCACTTGGATTGTCATCTTCAACCTCGCCTTCTTCTGTCTCATCATCAGAACTTTCCTCTGTTTTTTCTAAAAGGAAAAAAATGGAAAAAAAGTCTCCATTTTAGTATGTTGGTAGCATTTTGATAACATTACCTACATTCTCCAAAACCAAACTGAAGATGTTACCCATTCTGTGCAGCCTAGAGAATAATCAAAACAGTAAATGTCTAGAGAAATTTGAAATATGCATGAGTACAAAGTAACATTAACCAGACAGCCCCTGTGCAGATAAGTGCCTAAGGCAGCGCACATGGATAATTAAATTCTATCAGGGAGAACATTCAGCCATTCTTAAAAAAAAAAAAAAAAAAAAGGAGGTAATATCACATCTCACACTTTAAGAGGTAATTGAAAAGCCTGAACTTTACTTAATATTCCACTTTTCTAGAAGAACAGGTGAATAAGTATGTCAGAGGAATTTAGATGGCAACACTTTATTATGTGATGCATAATGGTGGTGTAATATTTAATTTGTGGCCAACAAGATTAATATACAAATATTAACACCTGTTTAAACAAAAGATTCCCTAACATCTAAAAACATCATAGCAAGCACTATCAATATTTGCCCAACATCTGAAATTCTGTGGATTGTTGAGCAGCCACTGCCTTGCACAGAAGAGCAACAAGAAAACGAGATGAATAAGAAGGATCCATAAGATCAAGAAAGGCCTAAAAACAGACTTCACAGAAAGCCTTTGAGTAGCACTGAAAAAGAAAGTGTGAAGATCGGTCATTTGCATTCTTTTTGATAGATTTTATTTAAATATGGTATGTAATAGGGTTAACATATTGCTCTTTGCTAGCGCTGTATGGCACAATACTTTTACCACAGCAATAATTCATGTCAGCCTAATGGCAAAACAGTTCTATACAATCACAAGGAAGCAAAAGCCTGATTCTCCATTTATATCCATAGAAGTAAAATGGATTTAAAATTAGGGCATGCAGGTACCAGATTTATCACAACATCAAAGTGTTTTGCTGCTTTTCTCTATTATAACTGACCTTTCAGTGTGCTTCCTCTGTAAAAATATAAGGGCCATATTTAGAGGTGATATGCACAGGGAACGAGTGACACATTGTCATATTTTCTGAAATAGAGCAGTTGATTTCTTTGATATAATGCCATCTTTTACCATGTGTGTTATTAACAGTGACATTCCAATTCCTCACATCTATTTTTCCACACATAGTTATAATCCATCCTTCTAATTCCTTTGCATGCATGACTTATTTCTGTGTGACCTATAACACTATAAATATCACATCTGAACATGACCCTGCACCTAACATGCTCAGTATGGACTGAATTATTGGTCTAGCTCCAACCCACCTTTTAAGAAGCAGCTTCTTCAAAAGGTTTCCAAGATGAAAGCCTTTTTTAAAGTGGCAGAATACATTTACCTGAAACTATACGATAGAAGCTCCTTCAGTAACTTAGATTATGCAGTACCCAAGCACAAGTTTAAAGTTTCATTGATTTTACTAATCATCTCTATATATGCATATCTCATCTACCTTTCTTGCTTTTTTCAGCTGCCTTCTCTTCATTGTTTTCCTTGTTTTTTGGTTTCTCTTGATCAGGCAGAGAACTCATATTTATTAGGGCTCGTGATGCTGTTACTTCATCAAGCCAGACCACATTACCTATGAAATACACACAAAAGAAAAAGTTTCTAAAACAGGCAGTTACACACTTCCTTAGTGGAGAGGAAACACTAAGAAGAGTTCAGAAACATATCAAAAAAAAAAAAAGCTTTATCCATTCAGTACAAATACAGTGTCTCAATTCAAATGATGTTCCATCATTTAAAAGTGAGACATTTTTCTTCTAAATACTCAGCTAGGTAGTGTACTTCACATTCACTATGTGTCACTGAAAAATGAGAGGCAAAGCTAAGAGTAATATAAAAAAAAGACTAAGAGCTATGAAAGAAAAAAAAAAAAAGACTGCTTACTTACATGATGTATCATCTAACCACTCAATATGAGCAGGAGGATACTCTTTGAAATAGGCAAAGATGTCCTGTGTACTCATCTCATCAACCCCACAGATGTAAATTGTATCCAGCCTCACTTTAGGAATTGCTATGAAGAGAAATAAATACAAAAAGAGTACTCATTTCTATAGAATAAGCTTTCATAGAATCATAGAATCATAGAATGCTTAGGGTTGGAAGGGACCTCTAGAGATCATCTAGTCCAACCCCCCTGCATACGCAGGGACACCTAGAGCACGTGGCACAGGGCTGCATCCAAGCGGGTTTTGAAGATCTCCAGAGAAGGAGACTCTGCAACCTCTCTGGGCTCTACAACCTCTCTTTCTTGTAACACACGTTTATTAAACAAACATTTTAACTAAGCTAAAGGGGTGCTCACAAAAAACAAATATGATATACACTCTTCTAAAAGACTAGAACTTGAATCATCCTACAGTGTGAAACTTATTACGTACTATAGTAAACAGTGAACAAAGAAACTAAATAAGGGCATCCTTTCTTCTTGACTGTTTGATAAACTTATACCTTTCTTCATCATGTCTCGATCCAGGGCCACATTCCTTTGGGCAAGATTCACTTCAGCTCGAAAATGAAAACGTTTTGCTCTTTGTTCCTTTTTCTCTATTGCTTCCTAGAAAGTGTAAAACAATGCAGTCAAAACAAAAACGAACTTTTCCAGAGATGACCATTTTCTCCTGTCTAACATAACTCAGTTCTTTACTGAATTACAATATACAGAAGCTAAATATTGAAGCCAAAATATCAGATTTGCAATCTTCATAAGGAATTCTTTTTGTACTCTTCAGCAAGTTTTCGAATGAGTTTCAGTAATACAAAATGTGAATACATTCCTTTTATCAAAACATTGCTGCCATGAGGATTCATATTTGTATGAACATGTAAAGTTATCAGTACTACAAAGTACATAGACAACTAAATGCTTTTTCCTCCATTACCACGTTTTATATATAGTGGTCAACTACACAATATGAAAAAATGCCAACTCAATACTACAGAGACAGGAGCCATGAGATTAAGTTTCTGAAGTTCCATAGAACTGTGTAGTTTTAAATAATTTAAGTACAACAGCTGTTCACATTCTTCAAACTAAGTATTAAATAATACGATGTCCTTAAGCAACACAAGACAACGAAACTAGATTTTCCTGCTAAGCACTTGTTCTTCCTCCTCCTCCACATAAGAGGAGGAAAAAAGGTCAGCTGACATGACTCAAAGGGCTTTGTTTTGCAATTTTGAATGACACCAAAGCAATTCCAATATATTTTTTTTTAAAGTTGTGTACCAAAGCCCAATTAACAAGACTATAAATTCTTGGGGAAGTATAAAAGCTTTTTGTGTACATGAATAATTATGAGTCTGCAACTCCACAGATTTTGTGACTTAAAAATGCTGTTTTTTTTTTTTAAACAGCTTACAGTAGACATCACATCATAAAACAAAGTGTAACCAACAAAAGAATTACATAGTTGTTGAAAAATACCAGCTATCTGAACAAAAGGTTAAACTCCTGTTGCGTCTTAGAAAGAAATAAAGTGTTTCCTCCTACACAGCAGCAACTTTGAAGAACCATAATGCAAAAATTACCTTGGAGGTTACATCTATTCCAGTGATGAAACTTCCAGCTTTGTTTTCATATCTTCTACTGGTGTCCTGAAATAAAGCAAAATGGTGATGATATCTTGATACACACTGAAATCAACAAACCTGCTACTCAAAAAAAAAAAAAAAAAAAGTTCTATGAGAGATTCAGTCTCTTCTCCTTGACCCGCACTCCAAGCTACACCCCTAAATACTTACATAAACATAACTCTTACAGACATGACTGATGTTAAAAGCACATCAGATGAACCAAAATTCCTCTAGTATGAGCACTCTTTTCTTTAGCAATACTTAGTGTCTGCATTAGCATCCACTATGGTTTTTACTTACTCTGTCTCAGCAATGCACTGGAATGCATGCTTCTAATTAGAACCTTTCTAATTAAAATTTCCACGATTTAAATTTTAGCTATAATCTCCTCTGAAGACATTAAGAGATTTAACGGTTAAATCAAAGATATCAGATCCACAGAGTTTCAATTTACAACATTAAGTCACAATCAAAGTCAGAACACCAAATCATTTTCCACAGTTAAACGAGCAACTCCTGTCCCTCTTCCATTCATTATTTCATCACCCATCTCTCAAAACAGCATTAAACTTTTTTTTTTTTTCCTGGTACAAACCTATTGATAAGAGCAAATACTGAGAACAATGTAGAAAAACAAAACTCACAAGTTTCATTTCAATCAGCCACCAGGTCTGCTGAATTTGCAAGATTGCGCTAAGCTCCACATACATTGAGCTGAGTGACTGGTGCAGAGTATTCCACTGTTTGTTTTATGTAACAAGGCACCTTTTCATTCTGACTTCTGCAGCCTCAGGACCATCACCAGGTGGGCGCAAACGTGTTGTTTATGCTACTGTTGCAATAATTATTTTGGCTTAAGGTACTTTTTATGGGGAGAAGCAATCCAGTATCGATTTAGAAACAGCAAAACACACAAAATCTAAACTTTTTCTCAGGAACAGGGTCAAACTATCTCTGAAGCAGCAAAATGTGGAGAGATATTACTACGAAAGGGGAAAATAAAAGGTTATTTGAAAGTGGAAAAAACCCTGACTGGGTTTGACTCATGAAGCATAAAGAAGTGCAGTAAGGCGCTGTCTGTTGGGCTGCATAGTTGGTAGGAGCTAGAGCATGTTGGCAAATCAGCTAGTTAGAGATTTATTTTTACAGAATTTCCACAGAAGCTTTCAGAGTAGAAAAACGAACAAAAAAAAAACTACTCAGGCGTTTAGCTCTGCTCTGACCCACTTTTTCAGGTATTAGCGCTGCCCTCGCTAGTTTTATCCAAGGGAAAGCGGCACAAACGCGGGAAGATCCTCGGAGCCGCGCGCTCGCCAGCCCCCTCCGCCGGGGCCGCCCCCGCTGCCGGGCGCCCCCTCGTTCCCCGCCAGCCCCCCGGGTCCTTCCTCACCGTCCCCCGA